GGCTGCCGTCGCTCGCGCTCTGCCGCATCCGCAGGTCCTCGGTGGAGCGGTGGAAGGCGGCGCCAGCGGCTGGGCTCCGGACGGGGCTGCGGGCTGGGGGAAAGGAGCTGTTAGAGGAGATGCGGATCCCATAGGGAACCATTGGGTGATGCTAAAGGCAAGAGGCCAAGCTGGAAATCAGCTGCCCAGCACAGATGGGACCCTTCCAGTGCTCGTACAGCACCAATTTGCTTTTCTCTCTTACTCTCATTTGCGCTTTTGTTTCATCCAGCCTGGTTTGTGTTGGAGGGACCACATCCAGCTCCTCCAGCTCCAACCCCTGCCCCGGGCAGGGACACCTTCCACTGGAGCAGGTTGCTCCAAGCCCCTGTGTCCAACCTGGCCTTGAACACTGCCAGGGATGGGGCAGCCACAGCTTCTCTGGGCACCCTGTGCCAGCGCCTCAGCACCCTCACAGGGAAGAGCTGCTGCCTCAGAGCTCATCCCAATCTCCCCTCTGGCAGGTTCAAGCCATTCCCCCTTATCCTATCTCATTAGCAAAGAGAAGCTGCTCTCACCCAAGTCTTCCCACTGCAGAGGCTCCGTGCACCACCCCACACCTTATCAATACTCTTTTTGAGGCTATAAATGGGGTCAGAAGCACAATTCCTGTTATTTCGGATGACCCAACACTTTATTTGGCTTTTTAATCTAATAATTCTCCCAAAACCCTACATTTGAAACTTGTCCATCCTCATCCACTAAAAATAATGATGAAATTCCCACTGGGCATGACTCTGATTCAATGTTCCAGTGGTATTTATTTGTGTATCACAGAGTTGCTACTGGCACAAGAAACATGAGGGAGCCTTCTGCTTCTGCCCATGACCATCTTTTCCTTGGTGGCCCTATTCGCAAAATCCAAGTGATGCAACATTCCAGCAAGGAGCTAGAAATACAGAAGATGTCCCTATTTTTCCTATCTACAGGGACTAACCACAACATTTCCAAGCCATGCTCCGTTCTGAAGGCTTGTGGGCAAATATTAGCTCAAATATCTCGTCCTCCACCATGGATGATGAAACCTGCAGACACCCATAGGGTGGGAATACTGCTTCTTGAGGGCCTCTTCCATGTGCACTTAGTGGGTGCTGCTGCTTCTGTCTACCCGGGGAGCAGCTGAAGCCTGGCAAATCCCGGGCTCCACCAGATGACCTTGGTTTAAACCTAAGTAAATAATCTAGCCTGAAAACAAACAAATCCCCTTTTATAATGGCTCCAAAATAGGCAGGTTCATCCCCAGAGCAGACGGGATTTTTCTGTAGGCTGCTGTGCCAGAAACCCTCTTGGCCAAGTGACCGCCAATGCCATTGACCGTCACACAACGCCCTTGTCCACCTCATGCTTGCATCTCCTTGGCTTCTGGCTACCCCTACCCTTAAAGCCACTGGTGACAGAGCTTTCATAGAGTCGTAGAATGGTTTGGGCTCAAAAGGACCTTAAGATCATCCAGTTCCAACCCCCTGCCATGGTGCCTCACACTAGACTCCAGTCTCTATGAGACTCCATCCAACCTGGCCTTGAGCACTGCCAGGGATGGGGCAGCCACAGCTTCTCTGGGCACCCTGTGCCAGCGCCTCAGCACCCTCACAGGGAAGAGCTTCTGCCTTATCTCCAACCTGAACTTCCCCTGTTCCAATTTGAACCCATCACCCCTTGTCCTATCGCTCCAGTCCCTGATGAAGGTCCCTCTCCAGCATCCTTGTAGCCCCCTTCAGACACTGGAAGCTGCTCTGAGGTCTCCAGCAGCTTCTCTTCTCCAGCCCCAATGTCCTCAGCCTGTCTTCGCATGGCACGTGCTCCAGCCCCTTATCCTCATGGCCTCCTCTGGACTTGGCTGGGGTCTTTCTCCATGCAGTCAATATCTGGGTGCCCTAACCTGAGAGATCTCTTCCCCCCCAGGCTTGCTCACTAAAGACTCAAGGATGCCACCAAGGTTGGACCCCAGGGACTCACTTGTGTTGGAGGACACGGACTTTCCGATGTCGGCCAAGGACCGGTGGATTGGCTTCTTGGTTTGGTGGCGGTGCTTCCTGAGGAGCACATAGCTTATCTTCTCCCGCAGCTCTGGCTTGAGCAGACCATCCTCAATCTGCTTCTCAATGACATCGTCTGCAAGCACCAAACAAGGGTGGTACATGGGTTACCACGCTGCAAACCCTCCTACAAACCTCAAGACAACACCGATTGAACCGAGTCGGTGGCTCTCAACTTAATCCCATGCAAGTACATGCATCTAAATCTGTTCCCAGCACTTTAGGACATGGGGGAAAAGCCATTTGAAACCATCAATACCTGCTGGCTCCTACCTATGATTTGGGGCAAGGAGTAGCCATCTAAGTCCAGGAGCACCGTTCCTGTCTGTAGACATGTCCGCAGCTCAAACAGGCTGTGCAAGGACAATGTGGACACATGGGGCTTGCTCCACCTCTCCCCACCTTCCTCCACCTTTTCTTCAAACTTTATCCACCTGAAATGAGAGGTTGGGCACAGAGCAGGGATGGGGGATGAGAACTGCTTCTCCTGTGGAGTTTCCTGTGTGCAGCTTTGCAAACCTGGATTAATCCATCCTGCTTGGTATTCAGGATGGGAATGGAGAACTCAAGTAACATCATTAGATAAAATAGTGCTTGCATGGTTGCAGAGTGGAGTGAAACCTCTCGGCTCCACCACTGAACTCAACCCTCCTCAAATTGCTCCTATGAGATGCGGGAGGGTTTCCCCATGGAGCTGAGCTTGCCTTAGCCAGGATCTGCATCCACAGGGACCAGCCTCGCACGCAGGGCAGTGTAATTGCCTTTGCAATTGTTTAGCAATGCTCAGACTTCATTCCCATGGTGAGAGACAAGAGGGTTTTCAAGCCCTTGGAATTCAGCCCTTCCACCTGTATTCCTTAACTTTACAAACCAAAGACTTCAGAGCAAGACATCAGTTTGGGGAATAAAGCTGCTTTTCCTCTACAGGAGGTTTGCAGGCTCCATGGATTAGCCTTCACAGGGCTTAACCTTACAACTTTTAACTGGTACAAGTGGGATTTGGGCTCCCAGGTGGAAAGGATGTAGGAGGAGAAGGGGTTTGGGAATAGCTGATGGCTCATGAAAGCTACAAAGGAAGGATGGGGAGAGCCCAGCATTGTATCAGCTTGCAGGAGGGCGCATTAAAATGCTGCAGCAAAGAGAAAATCCCTGGTGTTCCCACTAAAAAAGCCCCAAATGATTATCTAGGAGTGTCAGGAACAGTCTGTGCTGGGGACAAAACCTCAGCACGCCCAAAAGGGTGACATTTGGCCCTAGTGCCAGTGGTGAGCACAGAGGGTGGGTGCTTGGGTCAACGTGCGGGACCCGAGGCACGTTTCCAGCAGCACCTTTGCCTCGGGATCAACATACCATGATCCTTTCTCCAAAGCAAAACTCCATCTCCCTGCTGTGCTCAGCTCCTTGATTTCCATTTATTCCCATTTATAGTGGATTTAGCCCAGCAAGGAGCTGCTCTCCTGTGGCTAAAGAGGCTGAACCATTCCTCACTGGAGACTGGAAATCCAGGACTTGAGAAACCTCCATCTTCCCTCTGTGAATTTGGAAACCTCTGTCTCACCCCCTCCCTGATGAAAACCCCAGTGCAAGGAGGAGGATGCTTAAGAGCTTTCCACATATTCCATGGTCACAGAATCATAGACTGCTTTGGGTTGGAAAGGACCTTAAGATCATCTAGTTCCAACCCCCAAAGGATGCAAATAATCAGCCCAAGTGATAGGATGAGCACCCGCAGGGCCTGATCCTGCTTTCTCTCCTGATTCCTCAGGTGAACTTCCACACCTGGATATACCACATGTGCTTGGAAAGGGCTAGGGATACCATCAGCATCCCTGACACCCACCCCAAAGCTCCCCAAACGCCCCCAGCCCTACCAGCCCTTACACAGCTGAGGCTAGGGAGAGAAAATCCCACTTGGATTTGATATTTTCCCCTTGGATGAGCTCCCAATTCCATTAAGCAAACCCCACTTGCAACTACTACTACTTCTATTACAGATGTAGGTCAGGGTTTATTATTATTGCTTGAGGAGAAGTTTAAATCTTGATCTGGCCAAGTTGGGGGGGGGAGGGAGGAAGACCTGGGAAAATGTTCCTTATATCCCCTCTTCCCATTTCCCAGCTCTTTGCTCTAATTCTCCAGTTTTCCAGCATGTTACCCTCATTTTTACACCCTCCCAGCCCTTTTTGCAGGGCTTTGCTCTCATGCTACAACTGGGCATGGAAAAAGCCCCAGCTCTGGGGTTGATCCAGCCTGGGAGATGTGGTTGGATCCTCCTCCTCCTCCTCTGCCACGCTAAGCACCCAAACCACCTTGTTTTATGCCTTTTCCTAATCCAGGCATAGCTTTTTTAACCTCTTCCAAAACAAGGCTCATTCCCAGCCCCTTTTTCCACCCGGGGATCTTTAGGTGATGTTCACCCAATCCATCTCCAACCCAAAGCATCTCCCCCCATCTCACCTGGCCGACTCTTTCCACTCCATCTCCTCACCATCGTGCTGCAGCGTGTCCATCTCCGTGAAGAGCGTGGGGTTGGGAGGCTCATCATCCTCCCCCAGGATGTAGCGGAGGCGCTCGGCAGCCGGAGACACTGCCAGAGGTGAGGAAAAGAGGTTTTACCATCAACCAAAGGCGAGATGATCCTGCACCACTCCCATATGGAAAGGCCCAGGGTGGGTAAAGAGGGATCTGTGGGACTAGTTAGCATCCTGGGGTAGAAAAAGGAGGTTATGGGGAAAATGTTTAAGGTGAGAGACATTGAGGACTGAGGAAATTCTAAGTAATCCTCTCCCAAAATCCCTGTGCAAAGAGGTACAGGAAGCTGGCAGAAAGGATGAGCGGAGGCTGTGTAGAAGAATCCATAGGTCTGAGCTGGGAATTAAGGGAAGTGGCCAGCCCTATATACAGTATAGCCAAATTCCCCTTCCAGGATCATTATGTGCCCTGTTTCCATAGGGTATCCCACATTTTCTCCCTACCACAGAGCTTGATTTTGCTAGGTGAGAGCTGTCTGCCATCAGCAATCAAATCCTTAAGGTCTCCAGCACTGTGTACTGGGATGCACGTGTGCTCAGCACACGTTTTCCCACTGGATTCCCAAGGGGAACATGTATCTTTTGAGGGCAATAATACAAATTCACCATTTCTGCAGGAAAAATCCAGCTTCTTGCTGCAAATAACCCACCACTTGTTGCCTCCTGTGGTATGTTAAGGAAGGGGAGCAGCAACACGTCACCTCCTTGCAAAGCTTCTGACTGATGGGAAAAGGGGTTTTCATCTTTGGAGCATTCCCCATGGAATGCATCCATCCAATGGCCATGGAAGGGTGATGGATTTGCCCTCTCTTCCTGAAGAAAAAGCCAGGCTGGATTTTCCTTTAATCCTCTCCATCCTCAGGTGCTTCTCTAGCAAACCCTCATTGTTTTGGGTGCAGCGAGGAATCAAACACTGGGATATGAACCTGGAAGTGGATTCATCCCCTCTCCAGTTGCCCTGTAACCTATACAAGAGGTTAAACTCATCCCTGTGCCACACTCCACGGAAATGGTGTCTATTTAATCAAATCTTGGATCTTATCCCTCTCCTAATACAGCAGGAACTAGTCCAGCTTGAAAATGTCTTTGTTAGCAGGATCCTTCTGTTCTCAAACCTGGGAATAAGAAAGGTGGATAATACAGTACCCTAAAAAGCAGGTAATTAAATTGCCATGTGCGAGAGGAGGGGAAAAATGGGAATATTGCTTTTCCCCCCACTAAATGAGACAAGAACCAAGTCACAACAAAAGAATAGGATGTCCCTTGCTCTAGGCTGAGCCTGCTTAACTGCTTAAGCCCTATAAACCCCACCACCAGGACTAAAGCTCTGTTGTCAAGTTCCTCCTTCCACCTCCATAAGCTTCGTTATTATGATTATTAATATTCCTGTTAATTTTAGAGCTGAGCTACGTGCCTTGAGGGCTTCAGGCTCTTTAAGCCTAAAGTGCTGTTCCCGTAAGAGGGGATGAAATCGGTGTGGTGCTGGCAACCCCCTCACCCCAGCCTCATGCTGTGCTCTGCAGCCCAAACCTGACATATCCTGCAAAAATCACAGCAAATACACGAGCCAGACCACGGAAAATGATAGAAATGAGGGAATTTACTGGAAATTTACAGGGAATTTGCTGCCTCGGGTGGCATCTCTGGATGGAATTGTTCAAAAAGGGGGATTTGCAGTTTTGCAGGAGGGGAGGGTGAAGCGTTGGAGCTTTGGAAGTCCTTCACTTGGTGGCTGCTGTTTCCAAGTCTGCCCAAATTCCCACCTCGGGTGCTTAAGAACGGGTCCCTGCTCCTGTATCAACCTGCCAGAGGGTCCCCCAAGCAACTTGTATTAGGGGGCATTGGGGCTGTGACACACTTTAACCACTGGAACCCACAAAAGATAAAGGCAAATTTGCACATAAAGAGCTTTATAAGGTGGTTTTGGCAGCTTCTCCCCCACCCTCCCCCTGTTTAAGGAATAAACCCACCTCTCAACACATGACATGAGCTTCCTTACAGCTTCCCACCGCTCACTGACCCGAGCAAAGAGCCCGTTGCTAAACCAACAATGCTGGGGCTTGGCCAGAATTCATGGGCTTTATTCACCTGCAGGACCCTTTCGTGCCTGGGGCAGCACCAGCCTCCTGCTTTTTCCTCTTGGGAATTTGATTCAGCACCTAAATTAAACCTAGAAAGCAGCTTGGAAATATACACTGAATAGCAGTGTCCAAGGCTTGGTACCTCCTTGGTACACAAGACTAAAACTAATCATTGAATCATGGAATGGTTTGGGTTGGAAGGGACCTTAAAGCTCACCCAGTTCCAACCCCAACCCCCTGCAGTGAGCACCTTTCAGATGCAGTGATACTGGCTAAAACCCACAAAGCCACCCCAAATTCAGCACCTATTTCTTGTAAGACACAGTTCAACGAGTGCCCAGAGCAGATCTGTACCTCCACAAGCCAGCTTTTACCATGGGAGAACACCCTCAGCTGCAATTCCTGCTTTAGACCCATCAAACCTCCACTGTGATTTCAGATGCAGTGGATCAGAATGGAGCCCACAGGCACAGAATTAGCTCAGCATTAACAGGGGTGAGAATCATAGAATGGTTTGGGTTGGAAGGAACTTTCCAACCCCCTGCAGTGAACAAGGACATCTTCTACTAGACTGGGCGGCCCAGAACCACATCCAGCCTGGCCTTAATATGGGATAAGTTTACATATACAAGAACCTACATTTCCATGGAGAATCAGAGAGGACAGACCAGTCACACTGATTTATACCTCCTTTGATCTGAGGTTCACAGAGCCCTTCACACCCCAACTTTGATCGGCACTAAAACCTCACCTAGTGATGCTTTTCCAAGCCAAAAATCCTGTTCTGGTTTTAGGTATAATTAAAAAGGTGATAAAATAGGGGATGGGGAAACCTGGTGCCTCCTGGGGTTTGCAATCCAGCTGGGCAGTGGGACTAAGCCTTATTTAAGGCTTTGGCATATGAGCCATCCATTGTTGTGGTCCTTCTGAACACACACAGCCTTTTCCTGGGGTTTCATGGCTTACAATGGTCCCTTCCCCCCCAGAAGAGAGAAGACTGGGATGTACATCCCATGGTCCGTTCCTGTTCAAGAGACCCCCAGCTCTGGGAGACCTTTCTCCTTCCAAATAGACATATTTCTGCTTTCCCACTGCTGGGGAGCACTGGAAGCTCTATACAGCCCCATGCGTCCCCACCTTATATTTGGGGTGAGCTTTGGAGCTTGGTGCCCCAACTGAAAGCCCAACCCAACCCCATGCTGGCTCCCAAGTTGCTTTTGCAAAGGAAAAGCAAAGCCATATAAACCCAGGAGCTTTTTCCCCTCTCCAGCTCCCCCACTGTGGACACCAAAGAGCCATGGAAATCACCCTACCTGGAATCGTTTCCATCTTTTCTCCCATTTCTTCCCGGCTCAACCAAACCTTCACTGAACAGTACAAAAAACCCACAACCCTCAAACTTCCTCCTTTATCCACTCAGGCTTGTTAAATTCCCAAGGCTTAAGGAGCAGATTATAGAGAATATAAAGCACTTTCCCTTCGGCTCTCATGACGGGAAGTTACCAAATCAAACGGGATGCGTGTAGGAGAGGTGAGCGGCAGCGGGATGAAGTAAGAGAGAAAGGGGAGGGAGGGTAAGGTGGGAGGACAGAAACCAAAGGGTTGGGGTTATTTTGTGGAAGCAGTTTTGTTTCCCACCCAGAACAAGGTGGGAAACCCCCCTCCAAGCTCCGGGCGGAGATTTTATTTTGGGGACAAACACCCAAATGAGGAACGTTTCCAAAAGGAAAACGTGGCTGATGCAGAGTTGAGGAGTTTTGGGGTGGTTTTCCTCCATAAATGACTTTTCCCTCCCAAAACCAGCCCTGTGTTATATCCTGGTGGCATTTACTGTGGAAAGGAGGGGACATGGTCCCGCTCTCACCACAATGAAAGGTAATAAGGAAACTTTTCCTTCCATAGGGATAAGCCACGCTGAGCCGCTGCCCGCGCTGCTGAGCTGTGACGTGGTCTGCTTGACATAAACCCAAATGCAAATTTCTATAGGGGGGGTGTGAATAAAAACCCTGCTCCTTTGCTGTGCAAAATGTTAATCTTTGCTAAGGAGATTTAAGGAGACTGAGCAAAGCCCCAGGCAAAAGCCTGTTGGGAACAAGGAGTGATGCCCAGAGGATATCTGCACCCTGCCATCACCCTGTTTCCTCTTTAGCTATCTCCCAAGGGCAAGCACAACCTCCTAAAGGCAAGGACAACCTCTTTATAGCCTATCCATCACCTAAGCAGCCTGAAATCCCATTTTACACCCTGCTCTCAGAGACGTTCACAGGGAAAACTAAACCTGGGAAGCGTTGGGAAACGCAAACGCTGGACCGACCAAACTGGCCACGTGGATGGAGGATGACTTCGCTCTGGATTAATGGTGCTGCCAAAGCCCTCCTGCTCTTTTGGGAAGCCCAGTGACGACTCACTGGTCCTGCTGGCGTTGTCGTTGCCGCTCTCGTAGCAGCCGTGGCCGCCGTCGTCGGTGTCCGAGTGATCCTGGCGCTCGTAGTGCCGCTCGCTCTCGCTCGTCCTGTCCCGGCTGGAAGCTGATCTTCTCCGGCGCCGTTTCCTCCGGTAGCCCCGAGGCACTGGCACCCCAATGTAGATGGAGTGGTAATCTGGGGAGGGGAGGGAAGCTTTAGAGGGTGGGTCTGGGTCATTCTCACTTGCAAGAAAGAATAAAAGCCAGGGAGATGTTTGCCTTCTTCCCACCAGGTTTAAAGCATCCCATGGGAGGTGCTGAGCCAAGTGCCAGGAGATCTGGCAGGGAAGACCCTGCTGCCATTTGGGGCATCCCCGAGGTGTTTTGCTCACCTTCCTCATCGTCGTATCTCCTTCTTGAGCTGCTGAGGCCCCTCTCGCTCATCCCATCCTCATCCTCCAACATGGTCCCACTGCTTGGAGAGAGCTGAGCCGTGGGGAGGAGAAAGGAGATTATAAAGGGTGCTGGGCAGGGAAATAGCCTCTGCACACCCCCTTGGTGCTTCCTGCTACGGGAATACTTCACTTGTGGATTCCTCTGAAACCACAGGGTCCTTTCCTGGATGGGGTGAGGATGCACCAGGGACCCTCCAGCAGCTCCTGCAAGCACCCTTGGTGAGGTCTCAGCCCTGCCCCTGCTCCACCTCCACTCTTCCCAATTATCTAGATGAATTTCACCGGGTTACGTCCCCAGCCTCTTATTTCTGCTGCTTGAAGGAAGGTGTAAACGAAGCAGAAGAGATTTGCTGGTACGAGCACAGCAGCTCAGGTAACAGGGGTTCTTGCTGGATATAAGCACTCAGTTAATCCTGGGGTTTTGCAGAAGCAAAGTTCATTTCTCCCCACCTAAACACAGCTTTTACACCATACACATGCTACTGCTTCCAGGTATCTTCCTTCAAACCTGCTGCTTTATTCCCTGTATGAGTTTCTTTGGAATTTGCTCATTAATCTCCTAATTATCTGACCTCCAGTGATTGCCTTTCACACTTGACTTGGATAGGAGAACGGTTACTGTTCATGGCAGCCCAATCAATGCCTCCCAAAGTCACTTTGAGAGTGGTCGGAAAGGCAGCCTCTCCATGTCCCCCAGTCCAGCTGCTTGCATCCATGGCAATATCATATCATTATCCATCTATTTGAGGGAAGAAAAATCCCAATTCAAGCCAAATAGGTTAAAAATAGAAAGTGAATAGAAAAGCTGGAAGGGTCCAGGACAGGACAGGTTGGCTCTGGTGGGGTTGCTGAATTACTGACCCATTCCCCATAAGGCAAAGACCATCTTTAGCCTGATAAAGGCTCCAGCCTTATCCCAGTTGCTATTTGAAGACTGATTTAATGGATTTGGGATTCACTTCACTTTGTTTGACCACAGGAACCCAACACTTTTTGCACAGGTGCAGGTACCAATCTGGTTTAGGGGCAGTCACTTCTAGATGGACAAATCCTGCCCCGGACATGGGCATATTAAGGGATAATATCAGCAGCAAGCCCTGGCTTCCTGGGAATAACATTATCAGGCTAATTCAGAGGGGTTTATGAAGCTGGTGCTGGTGGAAGGAACAGCACAATACCCACCCAGCTGCAGGCAGAAGTAGTTCTTCTTCTAACAGATGGAGTATCAGAAACCTCCCCATGAGGCTTCTCCACCAGCTTCAGCACTAGGTCGGGGTCCCCAGATGGATGGGGATATATTGGGAATAAACACAACTTCCTTTTCAATGCAGCTTGGCCAGCAAAAGCTCTACCACAGCTCCACTGGGCAGCAAAACCATCCCATCTGGTAAACCCAGGCTTTGCTAGAGCCACTGATAAATAAAAGGTCCTGATTGATTCTGGCTGATTGATGGAGATCATGTAGCCTGGGAGTTTTTCCCTCTAATCTTTTACATGTAAAGCTTTTTTTCCCCCCAGATACTGCATAAAAACACAAGTATGGTGCAGACAAGAAGCACTGGAAAAAGCACAACTCTAAGCACAGTAGAAATAAGGGGAGGAAAAGAAGAGCACTGGTACCTTTGCCAATGAAATCCCGCTACTTCCACCAGCTCTCAGTTCCACAAAACCAAGTTTCAGCATTAATAAACAAGTCTCAGCATTAATAAACAAGTCTTAGCATTAATAAACAAGTCTTAGCATTAATAAACAAGCTTTACCATGAATAAACTCACCTTGAGCCCTCCAAAACCGCTCAGAAATCAGCAGATGGAGCCGTGGAGTGAAGTCACAGGCACTGGTGGGTGCGGGAGCCCAGATTGCCTCGAGAGAAAGCTGCTCTTGCCACCATCGTATCGACACCCACTGCCAAACTCTCTGTAGCTCCCAGGTTAAAATGGATTTGGGGCGGCACCAATTGACTTTGGGAGCAGAAAAGCATCACAGGATGCAAATAAACTTCTGGAGAGGATGGAACATCCAAGGCAGGGAGACTTGGTCTTGCGCAGTGGTGGTTATCAGACCACTGGGAGGTAGGAAAATTCAAGGTGCCCATCCCCAGCTTGCAGGGTGTGTATCTTCTGGGCATTTAGGTTTGGGATTTTTTGAGATCAGTTTTGCCTGAATTGCTGGGATTTGGGAGGGAAACTGCTTTGCTTTGTTTTCTCTGTGCAATATCATGGCCATCTGGTCTTAAGAAACAGAAGGAAATTCTTCAGGGAGTTATGGAGAACCATCACCAGCAGTGAGAAAGCTCCTAAAGCCCCTGGGGAGGATAGGATCAGCCCCATGACCATAAACTCCAAGAATGGTTTAGGTTGGAAGGGACCTTAAAGCTCATCCTGTTCCAACCCCTGCCACGGGCAGGGACACCTTCCACTAGAGCAGGTTGCTCCAAGCCCCTGTGTCCAACGTGGCTTTGAACACTGCCAGGGATGGGGCAGCCACAGCTTCTCTGGGCACCCTGTGCCAGCGCCTCAGCACCCTCACAGGGAAGAGCTTCTGCCTCAGGGCTCATCTCAGTCTCCCCTCTGGCAGGTTCAAGCCATTCCCCTTGTCCTGTCCCTCCATCCCTTGTCCCAAGCCCCTCTCCAGGTTTCCTGGAGCCCCTTTAGGCACTGGAGCTGCTTTAAGGTGTCCCCTTCAGGAACCTTCTCTTCCCCCAGGCTGACCCAGCCCATCAAATACAATTCGGATTCTTTTTTGGATGAGGGTTACACACTGAATTATTTTGCAATTTCCACAGTTCGTTTTTAACATCGTTAAACATCCTAAAATTGGATTTCATGGAAAGGCAGCTCCTGGTCCCACGAGCACGCCCACTGGGCTTCCCGAGCTGTCCGCTTCTATTTAACGCCCGGCTTGCTCGCCCCTGCGTAGCCTTTTAATGGGGGAATCAATAAACCTGCATCAAAGCAGCACCCAGCACTTCATCAGGACTGGCCTCATTGTTAATGGAAGGAGAACTTAGAAATCAGACTTTGTGCTTTGAGGTCTTCCAATATCGGGGCTTTTCTCTCACCTCTGGGGGATTATTCGACAGCACAATCCAGAGTCTCAGCAGAAGCAAAGCAAAACCTGTTTGATGCTTTATCCCTGCTCTCATTTTCTTCCCAGCTCCTGTTTTATTACATTTGTTCTTCCACATGTAGCAAGTCTGGAACAAGAGGTGATTTGAAGTGCAAAATGTAGGATGAAGTAAGGAATGCTACTGGTATCCCCTTTATTTAGAGCAGTGAGGCGTGTTTCTAAGTGGGAAAAGAGCTTTTCCAAAGTGTGCTTATGATTTCGTGCTCTTGCTTAATCTTTCCCATTTCCAGGCATTAGCAGACCAATTGTCTGCAGGAACAGCGGAGCCAGGTGCCTAAATCATGGAATCATAGAATCACTTAGGTTGGAAAAGACCTTTAAGATCATTAAGTCCAACCATTCCCAGCAGTGCCAAGGCCACCACTAACCCCTGGCACTGAGGGCCTCATCTACATGGTTCGGGAACACTTCCAGGGATGGTGACTCCAGCTCTGCCCTGGGCAGCCTGTTCCAATTCCTGACTTCTCCCTATTTCCCATTGCTTACTGCCTGCTGAAAACCAGTGTTCATCCAGACATGAAAACCTCCTTGCATCCAGCTCGTGCAACGTCACCTGTGCTGGGTCCAGCAGCAGCCAGGACAAAGGGTTTAAGGCTGTTGGTGGCTGTTTGTCCTGTAAATAAAGAGCAAATATAGAAGTTAACTTCCCTTCCCCAAATACATACAAACACAAAGAGCAGGTTGAGTTTATCAGCTCGTACTAAGAAGGTTTTACTAAACACCTCCTGGAGAGAGGGGGGAAAAGGAAGGAAAGCAAAGTCCCAGGAGGTGGCTGGGTAAAGGCAGCAGCCCTGTTAGTCCTTTAATAACCATGTTTAGCTCATTTCCGTGGGCTGCAGGTTTTACCTTCTCCACTTGCAAATAACCTTAATAAAATCCCCCAATTTTGGCCATATTGCTTTATAAAAGAACCCTGACCCCTCTGCTCAGCTCCTGGGGTTCCCAGTTCTGTTTTCAATGGGATTTGGTGGGGGGAAAAGGTTCAGAAAGTGTTTTATTCTGGCGGGTGCTGGTGATTGCTGCTAATAAGTTAAAGAGTAAAGCCTGGAACGAGTCAGAAGAGGGAGACAGAGCCCGGCACACGCAGCCACCTTTCCCTGCTCGGGCATCCAAATAAAGCCAGCCTCCGGCTCCTAAAACAGCCTTAACAAAGCTCCACTAATAAATCCAGCGTTTCCTCTGCCCGCGGCGCTGCAGACACTCAGCTCTTGGGAAACAGGCTTGTTTCTTCTTGATAAAACCACGCTCATCATTTTGCACTTCAGCTGTTTAAGGGCTCCCTCTCCAAGCCTGTGTCCCGCTGCAGCTCAACTCACCCATCCAGGCTGGGATGCAGCGCACTGCAGCTATTTACAGCATCCCAGCCTCATTTGGGTTGGAAGGGACCTTAAAGCTCATCCAGTTCCAACCCCTGGGACACCTTCCACTAGAGCAGGTTGCTCCAAGCCCCTGTGTCCAACCTGGCCTTGAACACTGCCAGGGATGGGGCAGCCACAGCTTCTCTGGGCACCCTGTGCCAGCGCCTCAGCACCCTCCCAGGGAAGAGCTTCTTTATATCCAACCTAAATTTCCCCTGTTCAAGTTTGACCCATTCCCCCTTGTCCTGTCCCTACAGTCCCTGATGAAGAGTCCCTCTCCAGCATCCAGAGAGAGGACTCATCCCTATTTAATTCCTACATCCCCAGGGATGCGGGAGGGAATTGCCACCTCGATCACCAAGTTGTGCTAAAAAAGCAGTACTATTAAAGGCAATTCCTTACCTGCTCATTAGATGTTGGTCTCCAGCAGAGGGGAGTCACTACCATTCGAGCACAGCGTATTCCCACAGTAAATCCATCTTCTGGGCTCTCCTTTTCTTTGCCTGGGGATAAAACTTAAGCCAGAGCTCACGGGGAAGAGCTGGAAACCTCCAGAAATGGGTGTTTTCCCCCAGTGCAGCCTTACCCAAACATCCATCTTGCTCCAGGAGGTGCAAGTTGTGCCTCACTGGGGATGTGATTCCTGGAAAAGCCCTTTGGAAAGGCAACTGCTCCATGTTTTCCTTTAGCTATGTCTTTGTGAGGTCTGGACACACCTGGGAATCTACTATAAAGCCACTATTTTTCAGGAGATGGGGTTAAATATACCTCCAAAGACAGCCCAAAATGCAATGACGATGGTGCCACTTCCCTCCCCGTGGCTGGGCCAGCGTGCAGTGAGTGGAAGTGACTTTGCAAAACGCAACACAAATGACATTTATTGTGCAAAAAAAACCCTAAAAACCCAATAAGAAGATATAGAAATGCTTCAAAAGGTGAAGGTAGCAAAAGGACCCTGGGGAGCTCACGTGCCTGCACAGTGCGTTACAGTTTTGATAACCTTCCAGTGTTAGTATCTCTTGCACCTGAGAAGATAAATATGATGATGTCCATGTTCAACATCCACCACCTTCCTAAGAGCTGTGCTCCAAGTTCTCCACCTTCTCACACTTTGCTTTGGCAGATGGTGCTTTCCTCCTCCTCCTCTTCCTCCTCCTCAGCATTGATGGGAATGTAGCCCCCTTCCTTGGGCAAACACCAGCACCATCCTGCACCGCTCAGATCCACGGCCCCGAAGCTGAAATCCCGCATCTCCAGGATCTTGAAGTCAACGGTGTCCAGCTTGGAGTAGATCTCGTTGAGCTTTTGCCAATACAGCCAAGCCATCACGAGGCCGATCACCTGCAAAAGATGAGTGTTAAAAGCACTATGGTCAAGCAAACCCTTTCTGAAGGTCTTCTACAAGGGATGGTGTCATTCAAGCTTCCCAAACTGGCCACCAGACAAGAGAGGACAGGACCCAGTTAAATCCTCTGCCAAAGCAACAGGCTCATTGTTAAACTTGTTATTGGTCACATCCATCTCACAGCTTCCCTCATCAGTCCTGCCAGAGGGATGTGGATTAGTTGGACGTCACCACAAGCATCGCGAAGCGAGAGGCAGAGGTCCAGGCTCTTGCTAAACTTGAGATATTGCTGCAGTTTATTTCCCATTTCCCTGCAGGTTGGAAGGGAATTAAAAAACACACTTCAAATCCTCAGGAGAAGGGGAGGAAAAAACACTTTCATCAGCAGCAGGTTCCTTCACGGTGCTACACTGTGGTGGCTACAGTTAGAGGATAAACCATGTTGAAGAGCTATTTGCAGTCCAGGTACTGATGAGGAGCACGGTGGCAATCAGAGCACTTCCAGTGCCAACTGCATCTTTGGTACTAATCCTTCTCCCACCTTGACTGCTGAGCCATAAAAATAAGGTTTATTCCCCTATAAGCCCAGTTAAACAGTGCAGTTTTATAGCTCCTTTCAATGCAAAAGATGGGATGGAGAAGGGCAAGACCATCTTGAGCCTCAGAGCTTTTCCTCAGCAGTAGTCAACATGTTTTTCCTCATAACAAAGCAAAGAGCCAATAAATAATCCAGTCACATCTGTACCATCCATCAGCTGGAGTCTCCTGTAACTACTGTAGCACATTGGTTTTGGAGCTGAAAAATATTATTAGTCATTTCTGTGGATCCTAATCAATCCATTAAATAGTCTGGAAAGTGGGAACATTAAGAGAAAGATAAATGGGAATAAGAGCAAAGGGTTGTTATGCATCTGAATTAGAGACTGTTTTGTTCCCATAGTGGAAAGAGAAAAGTGTTTGCCTAGAGGAGGCTGCAGAAAACGGAGGCAAAAACTCCAGTGGGAAAAAGCAAATCACCCAAGTGTCCCCCAGCTGAAAAGCACACGGGCAATCACAGCATCCCAGCCTGGTTTGGGCTGGAAGGGACCTTAAAGCTCCTCCAGCTCCAACCCCCGCCCTGGGCAGGGACACCTTCCACTGGAGCAGGTTGCTCCAAGCCCCTGTGTCCAACCTGGCCTTGAACACTGCCAGGGATGGGGCAGCCACAGCTTCTCTGGGCACCCTGTGCCAGTGTCCCACCACCCTCACAGGGAAGAGCTTCTGCTTTAGATCTAATCAGAACTTCCCCCATTTCAGTTTGACCCCATGCCCCCTTGTCCTGTCACTCCACTCCCTGATGAAGGTCCCTCTCCAGCATCCTTGTAGCCCCTTTCAGACACTGGAAGCTGCTATGAGGTCTCCAGCAGCTTCTCTTCTCCAGGCTGAACAGCCACAACCTTCTCAGCCTGTCTCCATACGGGAGGTGCTCCAGCCTCTGAGCATCCTCGTGGCCTCCTCTGGACTTACCCCCGCAGCTCCATGTCCTTCTTATGCTGCGGACACCAGCCCTGCACACAGTGCTCCAACATCCTGTCATCCACACGAGCACCTTGCACAGAAGCCACCCAAAAACAGCTCAATACTTATTTTTCCTTCCCAAATTCACCTGGAGATGAATCCCCAGGATCAGCAAGTCACAAGAAGCAGAATATGACCTCCTTTAGGATGCTCTTAAAGGTGAGTCCTTACTTTAAGTCCTAAGTTGGAGCTTGCCCCATTCCCACTTTCCTAATTACATCCACAACTCCTGAAAGAGCATCCTGCTTATTTGACATTCCACCTAATTCCTGATAACAGGATTAGACACCAAAAGAACACACAAGGTGCTGGAGCCTGCTGTGTGGTTACTGCTCGCAGGGCTTTCCCGACAGCGGGAATTACAGAAGTGCTGGATTCCTGCCGTTAGGGTGCTGGGAATGGCAACTGCAAACGCTGAATGAAAAACTGAAGTCTGGAATCATCTTAGCATCTCCTTTTGTTATCCAAATGGCCTGAAATCAGGTTATCTCACAGCCCCAGTAACTTTTGTGGCTGTATCTGTTTAGCTCCCTGCTGCCTTCAAAATATTCACTGCAGCCTGGAATATTATATATCCCTCTCAGCAGGCAGCTCCTTCCTGAACAGTCTGTGAAATCACTTCAGCCTGTGTATGGAGACAGTATCCATCCCTGGCTCAAACTGTGCAAGATGCATTCACTCCCTGACACCATGGAAAGGACCAAAATGGGGCTATGCGACCTCAGCTCACCTGGGATGGAGCTTGCTTTTGGTGGAGAACCAAAACCAACAAAGCCAGAGACTCTGCCATGGAAATTCCAGTCAGGATCCTGCTCTCCTACCCCATATCCATCCCCTCTTTGGTCCCCAGAAGATGCAGAAACCTCCAGTTAGGGATGGAGGAGGCCAAGGCTTGGAGATGGCTCCACCTCTCCATGAACAGCAGGAAGAGCCCGGAGCAACAGCTCCCACATGGATCTGGGTTATAAGATTGTGCTAATCCATATTCAACAGCGGAGGCTTTAAGGATTTATGAAGTTTTTAAATGCTAATTAAATGTATGTCAAGCTTTAGCATTATTTACTTCTATGAACATGTCATCACTCAGGAGATTAAAACCCCACCGCTGATCCAGGACCAAGCAAGAAAACCCCTTTGCAATGCCAAGTTTGAAGGCAAAACATGTCATTTTTTCCCCTTCCCTAAATGAAACAGTGATTCCGAAAAGATTTGTGTTGACAATAAATTGAATGCAAATGAATCCCATCCTGCAAAAGCAGCTTTGGACACATCATCCCTCCTGCTCCTCCCAATGGCAACGCCACATCCGAGGTATGGGGATTTCTTGAATGGAATCAAATTAGCCCCAGTCCTCAATCAGCATCCTGCATCCCACAGCCTGCACCCTCCTCTGAGTTATGAGCAAACATCCATCCCAGCTCGCCTCTAAATACCCTCTTTCACTTAATGAAAACGGAAAAAGCTGTCAGGAATATAGATGCGTTCAATATCTCCGGCACCAAGGACACCGTGTTTTCCAGAAGTAAAGAGATTTCTAACACGAGTGCTGATTTTATTGCACTGCAACATGAGGGGAGGTGTTATTGTGGAGCAGAATGTTAAGATAATGTATCAAATATGAGGCTAAAAAATTAAAAAGCTGCTTTTCTCCCCCATTTCCCCCTCCTTCCCGTGATGGTGATCACCACCAAGCCAGGGGAGGGAGAGCAGCTGCTTGGGACTTGCTGCTTGTAGCTCATTTCAAGTTAGAATATTGCCTGTTCTTCCTGGCTGGCATTCAGTGAAGTAGAGAAGCCAGCCCTGTGTTGGAATGGCTCTAATCTACCGCCTTCTGAGGCATTTCAAGGCAGAGGGGTTGCTTAAGGGGGTACAAGAACACTGAGTAGCTGTTCTTTGCACATGCAAGAGCAGTTGCACATGTAAAATAAATCCAAAGACCTTTGCATATCAAGGAAATCAATAACTCCGTGCGGCCCCACTGGGAAGTGACAAGAGCATCATACAATCCCAGCCTGGTTTGAGTTGGAAGGGACCTTAAAGCTCCTCCAGCTCCAACCTCCTGCCCCGGGCAGGGACACCTTCCACTAGAGCAGGTTGCTCCAAGCCCCTGTGTCCAACCTGGCCTTGAGCACTGCCAGGGATGGGGCAGCCACAGCTTCTCTGGGCACCCTGTGCCAGTGCCTCAGCACCCTCACAGGGAAGAGCTTCTGCCTCAGCGCTCGTCTCAATCTCCCCTCTGGCAGGTTCAAGCCATTCCCCTTGTCCTGTCCCTCCATCCCTTGTCCAAAGCCCCTCTCCAGGTCTCCTGGAGCCCCTTTAGGCCCTGGAGCTGCTCTAAGGTGTCCCCTTCAGGAGCCTTCTCTTCTCCAGCTGCCCCAGCCCAGCTCTCTCAGCCTGGCTCCAGAGCAGAGCTGCTCCAGCCTTCGCAGCAGCTCTATGACAAGATACATATAGATATATATAGATATAATGCAATTATATTGCAATAGCAATTGCACTATATATATAATTGCAATTTGCATGGGTAATGCTATGTATATTTTGGTGACACCCAAAGTCAGGGTTCCCTGTGTTGACATGTATGGAGAAAACCACCCTGCAGATGACACTACTTGAGAATTCCTGCCCTGCTTCCCATCCGAACACACCTTCCTGGCTCCAGAGCTCCTTGCCTACTTGAGTGGCTGTAAAACTGGATCCTGCTAAACAGAAGAGTTGATGCACATCAAGCTTCCCCAGAGCTAATCAAGTAAAAAGCAACCATTTCTTTTATTATCAACGTTTCCTTCCATAAATTGATATTTATAGACCAGGCGTGCACAGAGGTCATGGACTGCAGAGGGAAAAAGCCCTTTTATTCCCCTTTTCTACTACATTAAGCACACATCAGCCACTAGAGAATATACCACCATCCAGCCCCCAGAGCAACGAAGAGATTAGAAAGCAAACAACATACAGCTGAATCTTGCACAGACAAAGGGAACTTTGGCAATACAAAGCGCTCTGCACAAGGAAATGTTTAACATTACTGTGCCCAGGAGATTAAGAGTCCAAGCTGCAAAATGCACATTGCAAGTCTAAGGAGTAGAAGAGTTCATCTTCTGGATTTATACTCTTAGGAGGGAACATGTACCTCTACACTGTTGCCCTATTACTCTGTAACTGCTCTCACCGTAGAGCTTTGGAGATTGATGAAATACCAAAGTGAAACAGAGACAGCAACAGTTTACTGCACTTGGCTGACAGCTCTTGGCCATTTATAACTTAATTCCCTCCCAAGCTTGGTGGCTGCACCGCAGAGTCCATAGATATTAACCCTCAGCAGTGACCTCGCAGAGATTTGTTCTTTTTAATCGCCTTTGTGCCACTTTCTGCTTCTTTAGGAGGGAGAAATAGGCGTTGAAGAGCTTTTTGTGCTCTTCTTTCTACCTTATTACAGTGGCTACATTTTCACTTTGCAAAGGAGGATGAAATATCATTAGAAAACATGCCCTGCAAAGACACAGGAATGGAAAAGTTGGAGATGCTTTTCTTGAGGTCAGTATAAAAGCTGCTGAAGGAGCACCTGGGCATGGCAAAGGGGAAAGAGCAAAGCATGAGGTTAGTTGGCAATTTAACAACAAATGGGGTTTATACACACTGGAAACTCCTTGGATAATCTGGTTAGAGGCAGGTAACGTAGGGACGCAGCCAGTAGAAAACAGATTTCTGTGCTTTGCTGCAAGATTTGGGCTTGCTTCATAGTTAAACACAACGAATACGAGGCCACAGCAAGGATTTGCCACTGAGTGCCAGCAACTAAATTGTCTTGTTGAGAGCGATATAAAATGCATCACAGTTTGGCTGGGAAGAGCAGTGAGGAGATGGGATTGATACCAGAGAATGAAACACAGAAAGGAGGAAAAAGGGAATTATTCTGCAGAGGCAGAGTAATCATCAAGTTGGTGCATTCATGCTTTGCTCTGTGTGAAGACAAATGAACACTCCCCACTCCTCAAATGCTTCATCCATGGCTTGATGGCTTGCTTAAAAAAGGCAGAGACATGAATGATTTAAGAGCAATCATACAACTACAAACTCCCTCTGCCTTGCACCAGCTGGGACAGAGCCGGGCTGCTGCGTGCTGGTCTACCTGCCTCCTCACCCATTCAAGCAGTTCAACACCCAACAGGGCCCAGCAGATTCACAGCTTTCCCCAAGCCCAGTTAGACAGAAGCACACACACCTTGGGTCCTTCTTTCTGCACAAGAAGAACTGGTTGTTTATCCCAAATCCAAGCACAAAGCTCAGGTGCCGGGATGATGAACATCAGCCAAGCTCAAAGCCCCAGTGTTTGAGCCCTTGAGTTGCTTGGCGTCACAGAGGCTGAAGTTTGATCCTAAGGAAGAGCTGCACTGGGGAAAACTGGGCAAAAGCCAGAGTTGGACCTCTCCACACCAACAGTGCCAACCCCTTTCCCCTTGGATCACCAATTCAAGGACAATATTCTCCCCCCAGTTTTCTGCTGGCAGCTGCTGGGGATGAAGCTGTTTCTGGGCTGACAGCTCCTGGCAACACAGATGGCCATTTATAACTTAATTCCCTCCAAAACTTGACAGAATCAAATCCGATTTATATTTAAACCCCAGAAATGGTGAGCAGATGGGAAGAACAAGGTTCTTCATCTGAAGAGCATTTAACGGCACGACAGAAAAATCACAACACTTGCTCAAAAGCACTTGATATTCATCAAGGCTCATTGCCCTCTCTAGTTCTTCTCCCCATCCTTGCCAATTAAAAGCATCACGTTGGCAGGTTAATGGGTAACACAACAGGCAGCTCCTGTAATGGGCTCTTGACATCCTGTGAGGCAGATGGAAGTGGTTGCCTCTATCCCGGCACTTCCTCACCCCATTTCTATGCCCGTTGCATTTCCTGGTGGTAGCACAGCAGAAGTCCATTGCTCATTTGCATGCTTTGGAGAAAGCACTTTAGAAATGTGGAGCATCACAGCAAGGATTGGGCACGGAATAGTCCCCCACCTCAGTTTTCTACTTGGACCATCTGAGAGTTCAAAAGGAAAGCCCATCCCTTGAAAAATGAGCTCAATATGAGCTCACGTATTTCTCCAACAGATCCTGCTTTATTCAAGCACTATTCTACCTTTCACAGCAAGCAGAAACACAGAAAAAGATAAATTCATTTCGTTCCCATTTAGATAACCCCCCCATATTTGGAAAGATCACCAAACACCTCCAGGGCAAACCCAATATTACATCCAATGCGATAGAAAGAAAGCTTTTGCTTGGGAGCCTCAAAAGGAATCAGAAAAAGGATCAAATTTAACACTAAATCATCACAGTTTTGTCAGAGATAATTCTGGAAAGAGCCAAGATATTCACCTCCTTCCTTCACAGTGTTGCAAAGGGGTAGCCCCAAAATTCCTCTCCACATCAAGCATCTGTGATTGTGAATGCCCCATCCCTGGCAGTGTTCAAGGCCAGGTTGCACACAGGGGCTTGGAGCAACCTGCTCTAGTGGAAGGTGTCCCTGCCCGTGGCAGGGGTTGGAACTGGATGAGCTTTAAGGGCCTTTCCAGCCCAAACCATTCTGTGATTCTATGATGAAGAGCTTAATTACCTGTGCTGGAAAATTGCTTGGATTTTCAGGCATCATTAATGGCAAAGGGGTTTTATGAGGCATTACAAATTCTGCTAGATTTATGACTATGGTTTATTTTGGTTAATATTTATGCTCCGTTGGAAGAGAGCTGCAAAAACAAATATGAAAGGATTTGCTAACCTATGCATGTCTTGTTTTTAGATGTTATTACTTGGTCAATAATTAGATTTCAGGAGTGTGTTATGAGGCAGCTAGAAGTCTTAAGCTATGAATTTTGCTAATGATGCTCTAGAAAGTGCTGGGACATTTGCGACCCAAGACACAAATCTCGGATGTAAACAGAGGAGAAATAACTAAAAATGAATTCTTTTCCTCCTCCAGCACAGGAAAAGAAGCCAAAAGGACTTCAAAAGGATCCACCACGTACCTGAGGAAGCAGCAGGGAGCAAACAATGCCCAAAGTGGCCTCAAAGTTGTCTTTGAGCCAGAGCCCAACAGCGTGGATGCAGCCTCGCACGTGGATGACGTTGAGCAGCTCCAGGCGCTGGAAGAAGAGCAGAGAGAAGCATCATTGAGATGCTGGGTTGGGGAGAGATGTTATTTCTTGTGTTTGCTCCTTCTCGCAAGCCAAAGGGGTGGCACGAGAAGGGTTTGGGAATTGATTACTTGGACTGGACCTTCCCCTGGGTTTTCTTGACAAAGAACTGGGAGCTACAGAGCAGATCCACAGAGACACTGCAGCTCTCTGCTGCAACACAGTCCTATGGTTACCTCTGAAGGCCTCAGAACCAGCTGCTCTCCTACCACCAAGCCTCAAAACCCAACTGAGGACCAGCATTTCTTGGGGCTGATCCAGAAAGGCCACGATCCAAACATGTCATGAGCTTGCCTGTGCTCTGCGAGCCTGAGCAACACCCTGAGATGCCAGAGACAAGCAATAGGAATGAGTTTATACCCAGCTGCAGCAGCAGCCATCCTTGGTGTGGAAGAGCTCACCTGCAGGTAACTGTATGGGTTGGGGAAAGGAGAAGCAAGTCTCATATATATATGAAGGAAAAAGCCAATCTAACCTCTTTATCCAGTGTCCTGTATCCACACAGGGTGTTAATGACTTCTCCAGGGACCTGTGAACAGAGAATTGGTGAACAGACTTAGCCTGGGGGAAGCCAAAGGGGAAATACAAGATATAAGGATCACAAGTAAGAGGCAGAAGAGCTCACCCAGTTGCCTTGACCAAGCAGCTACTCCCAAACCTCACTTTGTTGCCACAGGCTCCGTGTTGCCCAAGTGCAATGCTGAAACTGTGCATGTTGGCACTAAGTTATTGAGGTTTTAATTTGATCTTACTTTTTAATCACTTTTCTCTCCAGATTCTGATGTTCCAGAGGATATCCAGGTCCCTCTAACATGTTTCCAGTGACTCGAGCCAGGACCACCTCCACACCACACTAGCATTTAGCAAAGCAACTCTTTCAAAACATTCCCTTCATTTCCTTCTTGTTTAATTCCAGCCACCTTTTCCAGCACTTTCAGTCACGTCTCTCCCTCATAATAAAGGGAATTGCACAGGGATTAAGTGTATTGGGCTCTCCAGAAATCAAAAGGGGATTGTCCAAAGTCTTCCATCACTTTGTAGGAGGTTTTAGACATCCCGAAGACTTTGATTTTTTGGCCAACAAGAATGTTTCAAGAGCTACAGCTAATGAGAGAAATCCCAGCCAAACACTGCAATTCAGGACCTCGAAAGTGTTTCTTCTGCTTTGCCAGGATGGAAAACGGTACCTTTTGGGTTACAAAACTGATTCTTGCTCATCCTAAAAGAAAGCAAAGCCAGAGGGTAGCTCCAGCACATCCTGAGCTAGTTGGGCGCTTTGCACCTCTTGGAATCGATCTTCTGATGGGTTTGGGTTTTGGCTTGTTTCTTGGCTCAAAGAGCAGCTTCCATAACACCACGTATTTCTACTCTGTGCCTATCAAATAATCATGTGCTGAAATTAGGATGCTTTCAGAGAGATGGTTTTGACAACCAGTAAAAGCTCCTGAACAACAAACCAAAAACATCTCACACTTCGGAGAAACGGAGATGAAAGAGAGAAATGTGCACATTCATTTAGATGTGGATTATGCTCTCCTGCAAGACACAGCATAAAGAAATGTGCACCTCCAGACAGACTCCAGCCTTGAAGCTGCAACTTGTTCCTCTAGTAATTGGCAGAGAAATTACTCCAGTGCCACCCTACCAAGAGCTTCTGTAGCTACCACGTTACTGACAGTGCTATCAAAAATCCCATCTCTCACTACTTCAAGACACTATTTACACACTGGGCATTGTTAAGGAGACTTATTAGTCCCTGTGCATATGAAAGACTTGCAGGGAAACCTGGAGACCAGCAGCAAAGCACCCATCAGCATCGCTGGGAGACATCTCATCCAAGGTTGGGACCATGAAATGGGAAGCCTTCGGCACAAGGGGGAGTTGCAACGCTCTTAATGTAGCTGCTGTTGCCTGGAGGGGTATAAAGGATGTGTACATGCCCATGTGCTTTACATTGAAACCAGAAACTATTTGTCTTGACAGCTTTCAGTTGTCCTTGCTTCCCAGATTCACTTCCCTGGAGTCCTGCTGGTGAAACACCATTGGATTCATCACTTTTCTTCCTTCTTCTGTTAAATAATGAAGGGTTTCTCAGCCACCTCCAGTCCGTCCAAGTAATTCCCTCAGCTCCTTGTATGGAAGATGGAAGAGTGAGAGTTCAGCCTCGCTTCACTTTTGTGAAGGTCTTGCACGGAAGGGAAGGTCGGAGCTGAACTGCATTTCTAGCATAAACCAAAGCAGAAGCCTTTATTCTTCCAGACTGCATTTTGATGACTTCAGAGATCACAAAAGAGCAAACACAGACATTTACAAGCCGCTGAGGGCAGAGGACTGCAAGCTTTGCACTTCTTATTTAACCAACTGCTTTTCTGCTCAGAAGTGGTGCCAAGTATCAGCAGTGACACTTCACAAAGGATCTGGAGACACTGCACTTGGCTCCGCTGCACCATCCCTGGAGAAGGCACAAATACATTGGAAAACCAGGCAGAAAAGCAGTTAAGAGGTAAGGATCCAGTTTCACATCCTCAAGCAGATGCAGGTGCCTTAGGCACTGGAGCTGCTCTAAGGTCTCCCCTTAAGGAGCCTTCTCTTCTCCAGGATGAACCAGCCCAGCTCTCTCAGCCTGGCTCCATAGCTCCAGATGGAGCCAGTATCCACCTGCAGCCCTCATGGATGTCATGGCTTGCTCCTCTCAGCCTCTTCTGTTCCTTCCACAATATTAAGTTTCCAAATGACCTCTTCTGGAACCTCCAAGTCAGTCTTGAAGGTCCTCTAAGACAAAATGCTTCACTCTCCAGCTTTCATTCGTGAAGGCACAACTAGAGAAGGAGGACACAAGAACAGAAGGGATTCTCTCCCTAACCCCAGTGAATTTATAACTGGTTGATAAAAAGCTTATTCACAGTGGGGAGACCATCATGTTCATCTCTACCCAATGCAAAAGAACTCAGACATGTGCTGGGGTGGTCCCTGCTTACCCCTCCACCTGCATGGCCAATGCAAGATCTTCCCTTCAGCCTCAAGTAACACATTTTGGTGGAAAGGGTTTTAAGTGGGGCTTGTGTGTCCCTGAGACCCAACCAGGTATGGCCAGAGTATCACACCCAGGTATCTCCTCATCCACAGGTGCTTCCCCACCTTCTCAGCCCACAGTGAAAACCCCCAGGACACCTTTGTAATGTCAGCAGATAACTCCAAATAGATGTACTGGAGCTTATGGTAAATGCAATCATGGGATGTTCACTCTGTTGGTTAAACTACACTTTTATTAGCTTGTTTTGAGTTGCAGACAGCAGAAATCTCCCAAGGGAGCTGGCTCCTTTAATCCATTTCATGTACTATTGCTACTGGCTGATTTCTTCACTAACACTCCCTGCAGTGCCAAAATCAGACTTCTGAAGAGCGAGGCCACATCTATCTGCCTGTTTCTGTGCTGCCCAAACCCAAGGTTTATGGCTCATGGAGATTTAGATGCGTTGGGTGAGGTCTCACTTCCCATAAAACCTCTCTGGTTGTCAGAGCCACAATCATGAGCTTTAATTCTTGACACTAATGGAGAGGATTTACTGTGGACTTTCCCTTCTGGGAGGTGGCTGCTCCACTGCTTCATCCGAGCATCCCCCAGACCCAGCTCATTGCAATGGGAAGCCAAAAACTTGCTTTATTTCTTACCCTACTATGTGAATCATCTGTGATTTCTTCTCTCTCCAGTATTTCCTTCTGCACTGAGGTCTTTTGTTTACCAAATTGTCACCCAAAACCATGAGGAGCCTAAAAATACTGAAAAATGCACTTGACTCTCTCCAACACATCCTCACTCATAGTACAAAAAGGACACCACATGAATTTCTAATTCCATCTTCAGGAGCTTTAGGGTTCTTAATCAAGGTCCTGATTAGGGATGACAACTATATTTGCAGCCTGATTTGCACGTCAGGCTTCAACTGATAATTAAAACACCTCAGATTTCCCTCTTTTTCCATTAAAACCCCAACAACAATACAAGATTAATGATCTATTTTCCTTGTGCAGGTATTAAAGCCTGGGGCATTGGTGTTATTAATAAAGCCAGAGGCAACGTTGATGCTCCTGATGCCCTGAACCTTCAGGAGGTTTTGTAGCCAGGATTATGCTCAGCAAATAGTATTTTAGCACGATTTATGGCATTTCTGGTCACAGCAACCAGGGATATTTGTACTTTTCCCCCTGCCTTGGCCCAGCTCCTGGCATTTTATCCACAGCATGTGTTAGATTGATTGCGACGAGGTGGACGGTTGTGTTCAACAAGAGGGTGTCAGAGCACTCAGCTTAATT